CCTATTGGACTAAACGAATTTTTATTTTATCGATGCATTAAGATGAACGCACTGCGATTGACAGATCGCGTTATCCAACACGGTCGGGGTTATTACAGCCAATATATTATAGCTGATATACCTCTATTATGACGTAWATTTATCATCCGCCGAACGGCATCGTCGAACCTGGTCGACGTCTGTGAACACGACTTTGAGTTATGATAACAGCAACACGACGGAATAACACACCACCGAYCTATGCCGCCGCCGTCGTCGTCGCGTAAATTATTGTGGTACCTAATTCGTCAATAATAAGCGACGTCGCCACAGCCGAATTATGTTGCTTCGGGGRAGGACGTGTAAGGAAAATWAAATCRAAAACACATTCATTTATCGAACATCGTGAAATCGTCGGACGAAACCAGTCGGGCGAAAGGGACCTATATAATAGAAACGAAAACCGAACTCGCGTATTTCTATTATTCGGCGTAGATAGGTACCTACTATAGTACTATATTATACTGTAATACAAATACTCATAACAATAATATTATTATTATGAATTCGGTATATAACGAGGTCGAAAGACGAAATTTAATGACGAATGTGATAACGGGATGAATGTAAAAGTTTTCATAGTTTCCTTTATGGTAACACATCGACTATCATATTATTATAAAGTTTYGTCTTACCTTCCTGGGAGGAGGTTGCATCTCGACGGCGGCGAAGACGACGATCCAGTGATCCAGCGACCCAGCGATCCAAGTCCGCTGCTGTACGATATCCGCAGCTGTCGTGTCGTTATTGTGATCGTCACGCATAAGCCATAACGTGTAATGGTATTACTGTCGTTGCCTTGTTATTATTGTAGGTACTGTACGCGGAATGCGCCCGTTGGGGAATAATTAAATATTGTTGTTGTAGTTATATCGCGTATACTTATGCGAACGCCATCGATCCRCACTGTCCGTATTCCCTATGATTTATCTGATAAAATAATATTATCTTCCCGTCTTCGTTGCCGATCTAATATTTTGCCGAATCGCTGCCCTTCTCCTCCACCGTTGCCGAGTACCTGCCTACCCGTGTAGTCCGTGAATCGCGCGATCGCACAACCGCCCGCGCGCTGTACGCATATAACCTATATACAGAGCGCTACCGACGACTGTGCCGCCACCCGACGACGGACCTTTCGCGCTTGCGCCCGCGACTCTTCGGCGTGTGACCGCCACCCCTTACACGACCCCCGCCACCGCTGGCTGGTGGTCGTATTACATTATTATTATACCAATACCAAATAGTATGATATTTGACGGATCTATAGGCACCAACGATAATAATCGATATTACTATCGTTGCGAGATCATCGTCGTTCGAGTGAAAATTAGAAAATCATCGTCCAAAACGATGATGTTTGCGGGCGCGGCAACTGACGAAAAAAAAACCATCGGGAAGCGCGGCATAACATATTTTGAACAACAACTATATCGAGCAGCATTTTACGGAGATCGTGTTATAGATCGCGATCGAAAGTATCGCGTCCCGATCACAGTTGTGAGCTTTTAGGCCTCACATAAAACGCGCTTATTATTGTACTGTCTTTGGCGGGCCGCGGCGGCGCGTTATCGATCGGTCCCGTGGCGGCGGCGGCGACGCGGCTTGTCGGTTCGACCGAGTTCATATTATTTTAATGATGATAACATGCTTGGCGTGTGTGTGTCGTAATTTTTTTTTTCGTGAAAACTTGAGGCCATTTATGCGCCAAAAAGGCAATGAAATTCGCTGCTTTGCGCACGATATAACCTAACGTATACACAGAAAAAGACTTAGAGTTTCCTATTATAGACCATTATAGTCTGCGCATTTCATTATTGGTGATAATAAAATTAGGTATAGGTTCATGATGTAATATTGATTACTTGCGATGATCAATATTCAAGTGATATTATGCATGATCATAGTCGAAAATATTCTGTTATGCACAACGCCACCACAACCTACCCCCTGACGAATATTTGATAATTTCTGTGTGGAAGGGCATACCCTTTTTATATGTTATATAAGAACTAATCATGATTCAACCACCATCAATACAATTCCTACACTTTCCCTCAAACATTTAATATAAATATAAATGAAACAAATTATCAGTGACAATAATATATATAGTATGATCTACCATGTATCTTTTATGGTATGGCGTATAAATCAATAACATATTGTTTTTAATAATATAAACTAATACATAGATAGATAGGTATTACTTCACTTTATTCATTTTATCTTTTTAAAATTAATTAATTTTTAAATAAACAAAAAGCTGGTTAGTTGTGGATGTCAGTACAGTAGATTACAAGTGGGTTACTGTAATAGATGGAATTAAATTTGAATCCAATGATATTATATCATTGTATACGAAAAACGATTATGAGCGCAGACGGTTTATTTGTCTAGGATAAATTATAGATTATTAAAAATTTTCAAATCTTAGATTTAAAAAGAAAAATTGTTATGAATTTCCAGCTTAAAATAATTTGCAAATTTATGTGATTTTTACGTATTTTGTCAAAATTCAAACTTTGAATAGGTAATTATAAAAATATAAGCGGTTAAGTCGTGTATGTCGCTCTGCTGTACAGTAGGTTACAAGTGGGTTACTGTAATTGATGGAATTAAATTTGAATCCAATGATATTATATCATTGTATTCGAATAACGATTCTGAGCGAAGACGGTTTATCTGTCTAGGATATATTATAGATTATTAAAAATTTTCAAATCTTAGTTTTAAAAAGAAACATTTTTATGAA